ATATATATATATATATACAGATCCAATTAAATCCAAAACTCTTGTTACAGCAAAAATGGGAAGTGTCAAGGTACTCCATATTACTGGTCACATAGATAATATCGGCAACACAAAATTTCACAGACCCAGATCACAATGTTGCTAAATCAAAAACTTTTACAAATCCCAATGAATTTTGACAAACTAATCCAACAGTTCTAAACCATATCAAACTGAGAATTCAGCTGAGAAAAAAAAATGTGGGAATGTAGAGCTTTACCTTTAGATCTTTGGAGAGCCAAAACAAAGCTAATGAGACAAAGACAATAGACCAGCTGAATTATAACCATCCCCATCCCATAAAACACCAAATCTCAACAACAATATCACTAATCCCAGGCTTCCTCAATGATGGAGAAGAAATTAATTAAACAATAAAACAAATAAAGCAAAAGAAATGATAACAACCAAGGAATAAATTATTTTAGGAGTAGAAAGTTGATGACTTGAAGAAAGAACAAAAGGGACGTTAGATTAAACAAGGTCCACAAACAATGAGAGGCAAGTAATTGGAATGGAGTTTATTGAAACACCCAGAACTGGGTTTGGTGAGAAAACCGAAAACATGTAAGAAAGCAATCACTTTTTGAGAAGTTATTGAGCTCTGGGATATGCAGAGCCATGAGATCTCCATGGAAGGAAGAACTGTTTTCACTGACATGAGGAATTGGACACAGCCAAACTAAGCCCAAAAAAAAGGAAAAACAAAAGGAAATAAGAAATTTTTTTATGTACACTCTTGACACAACAGACCCATAGTACCAAGCAAGAGAGAGAGAGAGAGAGAGTTGGAGATGTAGTTGGGTGGCCAGGTGGGGTAGGAAGAGAGAGAGAGAGAGAGAGAGAGAGAGAGAGAGAGAGAGATTCTGGCTAATATTTTAATGGGAAAGTTGGATTTGAGTGATGTGTAACCAAACTTTTAACTTGGAAGTTGAAACTCTAGTTGCTTATTTAACGGAAGTTTGGTTGACTCATTTTCTTCCTGGTTTTCTTTTCCTTTCCTTTTTTCTTTTTAATTTTTTATGAAGAGATTTTCTTACTCGTTTTCCGTTTTTTTTTTCTCGAAAAATATACAAGAGAGCATGAAAAAACACAATAGAGTTTTCAAATTTGCATATTTTCATCAAGTTCTATTAGATTGATTTGATATTTTTTTTAAAAAAATATTAGCGTCATTATTTTTATTACTTTTTATATTTATTATTTGACATTTAAATAAAAAAATAATATATTTATATTTTAAAAATAATAATAAATTTCACGTGTAATTTAGTTTATGGATTCATAATTATTTTTAATTTACGTGTGTTTTTTGTGAGAAAAAATATTATAATAAACTACGAATTATAATTCAAATTATGACACGAATACACTAACTAAACGCACTATGAATACAGAAAGTGACAACATTTCTCGTTTTTAGATTATGTCACAGGAATTTTGGGTTTGTTCTTTTAGAGTGTAACTTGAGTGTAGATTTTGAGTTGAATTTGAGTTATAACTTGAGTTGAAGTTAGAACTTGAATAAAATTGAGTAAAATTAAATAAAATTGAAACTTTAAAGAACGTGAACTTAAATAAAATTAAAATTTGAGTTGTCTTTTTTTTAGTTTTTTTTGGATAAAAGGACGTGTCTTTCGTACTTTTTATTATACTTCTTTTTTTTTTTTGTTGTTGTTGAAACTCGTTTTTTCTGTTGGCTAGCCAGTCATGAGATGGTGACCACCACATATGAAGTGTCCATTTCTCAGTTTGACACGTCATCTTTTGTTACTTTCATGATCTTGGTTAGGACAAATTAAAAGGACAAATAAAAGGTCCTTGGTTAACCAAGGTATATTCTAATGGGGGATAGTTTGGCAATCAGCATCCCCAATGTGATACAAGTTTTGTTTATTTGTATTGTTGTTTCTACATTTGATAGATTCTACTCCAAGTTAGAGCTAACTTATTTATTAATTGTGTTTTATTTAAAAAAAAAAAAAACCATTTGATTGGAAAAAGAAAAACTCATGAGTGGTTTGGACGTTTTTGGGATTAAACAACAATCTTAGGACAGACCCACAACGATATTTTTGGAGGCGCTTTTTCAATTAGATTCATAAAGGGATGTGATGGGTCACTTTTTTAGTTGATTATAGCACAACTATTGTTAAAAAATAAATAAAAAAAGATTAATAGATAATTGCAACAATAAGCCAACTAATTCTTTTATTTACTTTTCCTTGAAGGGTTGGGATGAATTGAGGAATTTATTACGGGGTCCATTGAAGTGGATTTTCCAAGTCTTTTACTTTTCAAATTAAATTTGATTTAGACTAGTCGTTTTTCATTTTGTTCAATGATTTCCTTGGGGGGTTTGTCCTTTTAAGTCTTACCACTACAAAATCTGAAGACATTATTATCCATTGAAAGATTGTTTTGAATTACTTTAAACTGATTTAATTTAAAATTTAAATTTTATTACAGTAAAAAATTCTCATAAATAATCATATTTAACTTTTTTATTATAATAAAAAAATTTTATATAAAATTATATTTTAAATTAAAAATTTAAATTAATAAATTAAATGGACCTAAGTCATTCTTATATTAAGCTAAGCAAAAGTTGCAGTGGATAAATGCATGGGAAAATACTGTGTAAACATTACTTTATTGATAGGACACCCTCGAATTTTCATCGATCACTGTTATATTATAAATGGATTTCAATTGTTATTAATTTTGAGATTATCTAATGGCGGTGGGGGCTTTTTTTTTTTTTTTTTTTTTTTTTTTTTTCCCTTTTTTTTTTTAGGTTTTTAAAAAAAAACTATTACTATAGGATTCTAAAAAAAGAAAATCTCCCTTCGGAATCAAACTTCACTTGTCAAAAATATTATTTGATATAAATACAATGACAATTGACTTTTATAGTGTACCGTTGAATAAATATCATGTTACGTTTTTTTTTTTATTTTGAGAGGACCGAAACAAAACCCACATGTACCATACCAAGAGTATTCTTTAAACACGTTGATGTAACGGCACTTTGTCAATTTTTCAGAATTGCATAAAATGGAGACAGAGAGTAATGGGTTACTACCACCCCCTACCACCCAAATTCTGTAGCGGCTGTGTTTTGATTGTGTAGGGCATTTGTGTCTCGAAGTGCATTAATCATGCACCGTAATATAATAACATATAAATTCAAAACATCAATATTGGAATCAAACAAACCGACAACACAACTTGGAGCTGCCTTGTCGCCATGCTTCACAAGCCTTTGAAATTGTTTCTCTTGCACATCATGCACAGATAATGCTTGTTTTAACCATGTAATAATGACAACTGCAATGGAGGAAAAATAGTGTAAGGAAAAGTGCTTGAAGTTAAAGGCAGACAAACCTTTTGATTTCATCTTTCTCTCTCACTCACTCTCAATAGTGTACATATCATACTATATATATGTATATGTATATCTTTATGCTATTAAAACTTGTTCTTTTCATTTGTTGCTTGGTTGAACATAGCAAAACATTCCCTTTGACATTCTTACCTAATAAAGCCAAAAACAAGCATTTCCCATAAGACAACTTTCTTTATACATACACACGCGTTTCATGACAAATTTACACTATTTCCTTCGTGATCAACTATTTACAAACATATATCAATAGAGGAAAGACATCATTTTCTTGTGGGCCAAATAAGAGTCAGGTTCTCTTATTTCTAAGATTGATTACCATGAATTTCTTCATATGTAGATCCTGCGTCAACCACCATCTTTAGCAGACAAATACAACATTTTCATATGTAAGGTCCGTTTAGTTTGTTGATTTGAGTTGATATGTGACTTTATGTGAGTTTTTTATTGTAGTAAAAAAATTAGATGTGACTATTTTTGAAAACTTTTTACTGTAACAAAACTCGAATTAATGAAATGAATGAAGTCGTAGACCCACATTGAAATTCCAAGCCCAGGAAAAAGATATTTAGGGGATCACTTGAAATCAAGAGAGAAGAGAGTGGAGAGTACCCACCAGTTGCACCACATTTTCCTTTTTCTTTTTTTTCTTTTTTTTTTTTTAAATTTCCTTTGCCTTCACATTTAGGGGTACAAGCCCCACATTCTGAGAATGAGAATTATTGTCATAGAAAATTCCCAAGGCTTATAGGAACCCATGTGATCCATGGTATTCTTGCCCAACACTCCTCACTTCTCCCTCAATTCTTTGCTTCCCCGCATTGTTACTTTTGGGATTTGTTTTTCTTTTTAGGGAAAATCATCACCTTAGGACCCTTTCATTTTCGACTTTATCAAATTGGTATATTCGCTTGTTTCAATAATCTTATTGAGGTATCTTATAGCTCAAAATTTATCGTTCAATACCTCAAGGCCGTGTTTTAAAACATAGAGGGCTTTGTTCAGTTACATTTTTGAATTATAGTGATTTGAGTGTAAATCTTGAGTTGAGTTTGAGTTATAATTTTAGTTGAAGTTGCAACTTGAGTTTGTATTTAGTTGTGTACATTTGAGTTATGATTTGAGATGATAATCTTTTTTAGTCTGTATTTGGGTGGGTCAAAACTTGAGTTTGTATTTAGATAGTATTTTAATAAAAACTCAATGATGATGGAAAATATTAATAGGGTATATAGGTGGAGTTTTATTAATCTTTTCGTTGTGAACACATAAAAAAAAGAATCATCTTAATCAGAATTAAAACGAAAAAGTTATAGTGTTTTTAAGAATAGAAAAAATATTGTTTATTAACTTGAGTTTGAGTTTAGGAACTTGAGTTGAAGAGAAAACTTGAACTCATATTTTAACCTCAAACTCAAGTTAAAATTCAAGTTCAAACTCAAGTTCAAACTCAAATTTTACAAAAGAACATGAACTTAAATAAAGTTGTAAATTGAGTTCAAACTTTTTTTGAGTTTAGGTGCAAACGAACAAGCCCCAGAATGTTCAAATTTGGAGTTCGAATATGAAATATTGAGGTGTCTTGTAGTTCGAAATTTATCATTAGTACCTTAAAGGTCGTGTTTTAGAATATAGAATGTTCAAATTCGGGGGGTTTAGATATGAAATTTTCCTTTTTTGGTTTTGATTTTTAATTATATTTTTAGGTTGAAAGCAGAAATAGCCCGTTTTGTTAGAAGATTCATTCTCTGATTCAAATCATAGTTCATGATTCGCTACAGTATTTTCTCTCATAAAAAACACACGTAAATCAAAAATTATTCTAATCTCATGGTTCTAATCTATGAACCAAACGAGAAAAACTTCGGATGCGTTTGGTTGGTGTATTCGTGATATTATCTAAATCATGGTTCGTGGTTCGCTACATTATTTTCTCACACAAAAAATACACGTAAATCGAGAATGATTTTAAATTATAATTATGAATCCATGAACTAAACGTCCACCCATGTCCTAAAAAGCGATTTTCAGGCTCTTGGATGATATTTTTAAAAACCAAGGCCGTACCAAAAATAATAATTTCCTTCTTTTAATTGTAAAAAGAAAAAATATATATATATATCTATATATAAATATATAATTGATAAATTTCAACAAAGCTTCTATTAGCATCCCAAGACATAAGCTTTTCCCAACCGAAACCTTTTCAACAAAAACCCATTGAAGCAACGAGTAGGCTAGTACTGAAGGACCATTTCAAAAGGACCACTGGTATCAAGCACTTTTTTCTTTTTTTATTATCAACCATGTGCAATATGCAACTAAACTTTACCCCACAATCTCAGTCCCGCTTTTGTTTTAGTTCACTCATCCAATCCCTTGTGTTGCTTTGTTTCCCCTTTGTTAAGGCTGAAAAGCGAAATCCTTTGGTGGATATATTTCTTCACATGAGTTAGGTTGGCTCTTGACCTAACTCTCAAGGAACCGTTTACCTTTACAACTTTCCTCTTCCCCGCAGATCAGAGGAAATGCTGTTTCGAGAGAGTTGAATTTCACACGTACTATTTTTTGTAGAAAATATAGGTCTAATTCTCGTATCAAAGCGGTACATATGAATAATTAGACTTCAAAAGTGATAATACCTAATTAACAGCAATTGTCCACGCCCCGAGATCGGACTCCGCGGCCGCCTAGTTCTTGCGGGCCGGCCCTTAAGGAAGTCTAGTACCATAGTTCTAATAGTGGTTGTTCAAAAGAGTCAAGAGACGTCCTTTAGATGAATGCAAGTGAGACCCACAGCTCTTCCCCACTGAATCACTCCTTTCTTCCTTTCTCCAATTGCAAAATTCGAAAAGCGAAAAATGTCAATAAAGAATTTTTAATGAGCGTATTGTGCAACTCAATTATTGACATCTAACAACAATAAAACCAAAGAAGATCCACACACAGCAATTCTAAGCAATCAGGCACGTTCCTAGTTTAGTTAGTGCAAGCTGTCTTCCAACATCAATCAATATTTATATCATTAATAAAAGTCACTCTCTCCAAAATGCAATAAAGTTCTCGCCTGATTTTTTAGGTGGCACAAGCTTACGAGGCCTACTATACAGATCTATAGAAAATGAACTCAAAATGCAAAAATTTTAACACAAAGATCAAATAATAAGGATTTGAGTTTAACATTCTATTGGTGTCATCGTTAGCTTTACTTGTACCACTGCAAAGAAACATTGCAATTTGCAAAGAGGGCGCGCAGGAGACGAGCAACCCCATTGATGATAAAAAGACTGCTGTGACTCTGTGAGCTTGTGTAGGGGCGTCGGAGACTCAGAATTGAGACCAACCAGGATGGTTGTCATCCAAATAGTGCGTGTCATCTATATTACCTAATACCCATGCATTTTCGAAAGGCAACATTGCCAAAAACTAAGCAATGGGTACCCGGCAAATGGTAAAAAGTGCCTGAAGTTAGGTGCATGTTGAATGATAAAGATCAATCGATCAAGCAAAAGCATGATATGGACCAAAATGAGACCTTCCGTGAAAAATCATCCGTTTGAATCAAATTCTTGGAATTGACTCTTGAAGTCAGTGACCATTTTCGTTTCTTCTTCTTTGCTATAAGTACAATTCCTCCAATCAGCTCTATCTGCTATCTTTAGCAAGCCTGCCAGAACCTGCAAAGGTTTCATGTGAATAACATTTCAACGCAATTATTATTAAACTTGATTGTTTAGGGTCTAACTTCTAGGGAAAATAACATTCGCAATTCAAAGTTGAATGGAAAGGAACTTTACTACAAAAGGAGAGGGGGGAGAGAGAGAGGACGTGACTATGATATGACCATCGTTCATCTTTTGTCATCACAAAAGTCCACAAAACTTGGGCAAGAACTATGGTGCTCGTGAAGATTAAGAATAAAGACAAGTAGTGACCACCCAGAACTGGGTTATCTGGTCATATTATCTGATTACGTGGCTAGAATTACTTCAAAACACTTCGTTGTGGTACAGCTTACGAGATATAAGAATCTCGCCAGGACCCACCTAAATATTTCATTTGAGGCAGCTACTGAACAGACAGGAAAACATATGGTCCACTATTCGTAATGCAAATGATTTGTACTTTAAAAAAGGACAAACCTCCTCCTTGTGTCATCATACATGTGATCGATCATGCATAAAATGGTAATATGCGACGAAAGCGGAACATTAATTTATTTCCGTATGTTTATATACGAATACAAAACAAGCCACAACTTTGTCTTGTGAAGACTTGTGTCAGCTCACAACCAGACCATTCATTTCTTATCTACAAGGGGGAAAAGGAAAGAGATGATTACATCTACACAACAGATTCCAGGTCGAAATCAAAACTAAACACCAAAATATCAAATAAGGTTATTATAGCTTACCTCACGCCCAAATTGAGCTGGGAATTTCTCGTTTTCCTCCACCACATGTGATAAAATGGTACCGTCAGGGAGTTCAATATAGAAGAAACTAAAATTCTTGTCAAACTGAGTCTTCAAATAATTTCTTCCATCAGAATTGTTATTGACTGCAATCAAAAATAAATTGAAATAAATTTACAGAGGAACTACTGAATTTCCAGACTTACACAAAACCAATACCCCAAAATAAACTTTCGCTTTGGACTAAATTGACAGAAGGATGCTAACTGAGAAGGAATAAATGCTCATTGCTAAACTTGGATAATGGGTAAGATACATGACAAAAAACCGACCTAAAATTGATATAAGACTAACTGGAGAAAGCCACAGACACACAATGAGAACAGCAGTTAGGCACCATTCACTTACATTTCTTGATCGCAAATTTGAAGCCAAGCTTATCAGCAGCTAAATTAAATATATTTTGCAGAGCAGCTGCCTTGGATGATGGAACAGGGATAGCCTAAAGAATTGAACAGGAATTAAGTAAATAACTAGAGAACAAATCTGAATAATAATTTACAAACCATGACTTGATATGTGTGTGTGTGTGTGTGTGTGAATACAACGTGTTGTTTAACATTTCTGATTAATCAGCTCAAACCTTGGCTCAAGTAGATTTTCAAGAAAAGCAAAATAAAAAAATAAAAAAAGATAATATTCAAAAGGTAAAATGCTTAAAACAGCGTAGGACGCTTAAAGACTATCCAATTTGAAGGTAATTTCTAGAAACTTAGTATAAGAAACATAACTTCATGTGTGTGTGTGTGTGTATGCCGCCACACAGTCAACACACACTTCATGCAGCTTGCTATACAAATAACAATTAAAATTCACCAAATCTAATAGAGATGCTTCCAACTTTGCAGATTCTTTTACCTGGAGATTAGCATGAGTACTTCTTTTAGACACCCACTCGAAGAAAACAACATCTTTCCCTTGGCTCTTATAATACTTCCTGAGGCTATTCTGGAATCTACCGAGCTCAATTTCAGACTTTTGTGGTAGAGAGAGGGTATTAGGCAAATGCTCCACAGGAATTACCAACACGTGGTCTTGTACGAGTGGACCTTTAGGCAATGCACAGTAGAAATTTTCTCCTATACTGATGATCAAATGCGACTCTACATTGGGGCTTGAGAGACAAAACCAGCATTCTTTCGATCTAAAAGTCCATTACACAATACGCAGTTAACATACTAGTGTGGACTCCATATTTTTATACATTAGATCATTGAGAAAGTGAACATAGTTGATGGTTTGCAAACAAAGTAATCACAGGAATAACAAAAACATCATGAACCAAACTAAAATTGAAATCTACGGAAAAATAGCATGTTGATAATAAAACAACCTGTCAGTTGAAGCATTTTCAGATCCACGTCTCCTGTGAGAATATCCCTCACCTTCATCTTGTAAGCTGTGCTTGAAGTTGCAATCTGGACCCCTTTCACATTTTCCCTTGTTGAGAAAATCAAAACAAACACCCCTCATAGATTGTTCCCTCGCATCCACATCATGTTGAAAGTGACATTTTTCCCCTCGTGGACAAGAGCCAGAGGAAACAAATTTAAAACAAAGCTTATTACCATCTATGGCTCCATGTTTCTGTCGTTTTTGTGAGACATCATATCTCCAGTACTGTGAATCAGAAACACCATCGTTGGATCTCTTTGCAGCTTCTCTTCCATCTACCATTTCCTGTACTGTGTATGGAGATAAGGTAGTGCCTGCTGGCTTCGCACTAATGTCAGAAGCAGACATCATTGATGCTGGAGTGGGAGAAATTGCATGAATAAATTTCTGAAAAGGCAGCGTTAAAAAAAAAAAAAAAAGTCATTAATAAAGTAACAAAAAAGGTTGAATCTGAGAAAGGCAAGAATATAAGAATAACTATAAAGGCAACACAAGTAGTGAAAAAAAAAAATCAAAACTAAAGTCGCATTTCAAGAAGCGAAATTTGATGAATGAACAAACCTGTTTATCCTTATTTCCAACAGGTGCCAGACCCAAGAAGCGGGTCACATACACAGCATCGACATTGGAGTAAGGTTCACGGTCATAGAACACACCTTTGGTGCCTGCAATGTGATAGCTAGAACACCAACCAAACTTTGATCAGAAGAATAACTTACAAGTTACAACTCATACTGGCATAAAGAGCTAATGCTAGGCTGACTACACAAGCCCGAAAGCAGTTAGTAAAACATAAAACGTGATCATAAATACATAAGAAGAATGAAAATGGGATAAACTCGACATTCATGCACACTCAATTTCCATGCAGTCCCATACCGCGGCTTGATCTCTGCAACTAACTCTGCTACTGTGGAATCACTACTTGAAGATTCTGATACCCCAGGTGGAAGGCCAGAAGTTGATGCTCTATTTGTGACCCCACTTGGCCATTCGTTAGTGATTATCAATTAAGGCAGTCACAAAAAGAAAAATCACATACCAAATCATCCAGAAAGCAACATAAAGCATCGAACACAAAACGAAGTACTAATTTTCTTTTTCTTAACAAAATTGAAGGATATGTAAGAAATAAATCAACAAGTCCAGGTTCCTCCGCAATTGCGCGCAATGCATCAACATCATCCTGACTATACGTCCCAAACTGTTGGCCATCCGCAGAATTCCTACCAGATAAATACGCCACACATAATCCTATACAAAATTGCAGTGTACTAAATCAGCGCAATCCAATTGGTTCACGCATATATCTTCATGGCTTAAAAAGACTCATAATTCACTATTACAAGCAACCACGCCACTATAAATTCTTTCAACCAGACTTATTCTATCCTATAAAAACAAGTTAGTTTCTCAATCTTACAAGTACCAAAAAGTGGTAATTTGTTGCCAACGAAACGTCATCTAGTTATAGGCTAATAATTACATTAACAAAAATGTTGCACTGGTGCTAAGTTTTCACTTCAAAATAATTTTTCTCAGTAACCAAACAAACTGATAAAGAGCATACCGTGGAGTGTAAACTTGCCACTGCCTTTCAACCAGAAGAGATTCTCGCGAATCTTCAAGCCGTCCATCTTGAATCCCTGGTTCGCTGGGTCCTTCGAAGCGGCTAAAAGGAATTTAGCAGCGGCGATGCCATAGTCGCCGATGAAGTAAGTTGGGAGAGGGATTTCGGACCGGCCTTCGAGGTAGTCCGCGAACTCGGCGAGCCGGTCCGGCGAGTCCGGGAAGAACTGGCCCACGCATAGTAGGGCGTCGAATGGACCAGCCGATTTATTGACCTGGAACGAGTTAACTCAGTTGAGATTGAAGAAACGGAAATGGGAGTTGAAAAACCTAGAGAGAGAGAGAGAGATATACCGAAGCGACTCGTTTGAAGAGCTGGTTGAGGCGGCCTAAGACGTCGCCGCAGAGGAGAATTCGCGGAGGAGCCATGGGAGGGAAAGAGGCGAGCTCGAAGGTTGAAAATGGCGGAGGAAAGGAATGGAAATGGACCGAGATCGGAAGGCCCAGTTCTTCAGGTGTGATCTCGGTCCGATATTTTGGGCTGACAATGTGGAAATCTGGGCCGGATAACCCAGAATACGAACAAAACACGACATTTTAAAAATGACAATAACTGAAAAAACGACAACATCCACAAACGACAACGAAGCGATGACCGACTTTAGCTAAATAACGACAACTGTCCAACAAATGCCGACAATAGAACGACAATAAAACATAAAGTCGACGATAACATAAAACGACTACCGTCCACTGCCCTAAAACGACAAGAAAGACAACAACACTAAAACGACAACAAAAAATAAAACAACAGAAACTAAAACGAACCACGACAATATGCTAGTTAACAACGACAAAAACCCAAAAAGCGACAAAAAAGAGGGAAAATTTTAACGATGAAACAAAAAGACAGCAAAACTTGACAAAAAGCCTTAAGAACGACAAGAACTAAAACAAACAGGCATGGAGAAAAAAAAAACACACGCACACAAAGCGTAAAAGAAATTGATAACACAGAAAATAATAAAATCATTAAAAAAAAAGAGAGTTATTCTCCTAGGACAAAAAAAATAAACTATTATTTTTCTATTTTCAGTTGTTAAATATGCATTAAAATTATATATTTTTTTAATTTAATGTGATTTTAACTAAATTTAACGGTTAAAAACTGACTTCATCAATAATGAAACCCTGTTATAAAAAAACCTTAAAAGAAAAAAATAATCCACATAAAATTAAATAAAGAGTGAAAAGACAAAGCACAGTCAATTAAACGTCAGAAACAATTTTTTGAACGACATTATTTACTCTTCTTTTATTGTACATAAACCTGTCTCCCTGACTACCTCAATGGCTTTTTTTTTTTTTTTTTTTTTTTTTTTTTTTTTTTTCTCTTTTCTCTTTCCAACTATTCATCTTCCTAACTCCTAAGGATGCGTTTGCTTAGGTGAAAATTAAAGGAATAGAATTTAAATATGATGTTTAGTTAGATTTATAAAAAATAAATGATCATTCAAATAAATGGTCATTCACCCATTTTGAGTGAATCATCATTCGCTCATCACATGAGATACAAAAAATAAAAATTTAAGTGTTTGGTAAATTATGTATAAAATTGATATAAATATGTATAATGATTAAAATAGACATAAACTATGTACAAAATATTGATATAATGATGTATAATGATTAAAATAGACATACTTTAACACACATACTTATAATTAGTTTATCTCTATGTTTATAGTCAATATTCACAATATTTATACACTACAATACTAAAAAAAATTTAATCTTCATTTTATCAATTAAAATATCTCTAAAAAATAAATTAGTTTTATTCAAGGAGATAAATTATATATCTATAAAGAAATTAAATAACGTAAGAACTGAAGGTAAATTATTTTTCAAATTTGCAACATTATAATAAAAATATATTATTAAATTTAGCATAATATATTTATTAAAGATTTTTGATTTTCAAATAAAAATTTAAAATAAAATTACTCTTTAATTTGATTTGGAAGAAATAAAATGAGTTGATTGAGAATTAAGTTTTATTATTATGGTCATTTTAGTAAACTTTGATAATGTAAGCAAAAGCTGCTGTAGAAAAATAATTCCTGACATGCTTCTTAAATTCTGCTGTAATGCATCAGTTTTTATAAGCTGTCCGAACAAAAATAAGTTTTGTCAAACACCTTAACTTACCGTAGTTTATTAAAAAAATGCTAAAAACAACCTCTAAAAGTAATGGCAAATGGGCTCTTGGTCTACTCTGTACACACCATTGATTGAAAGATAAATTTTCAAAGGGATTCTTTATAAGGACTCGTAGAATGCCAAAGGAAACCTTGCAATCATCTCTTTCACATTACCTTTTTTTTTAATAATAAATGTACAATAGTCTAAACCTTTTTATATTTTTATGGGAAGCTTTATTGTAAAAACGTTATTTTGCTCCATTGTTAAAAAATATTGTTTTTATTTGTCAAATCACATTCACATCGTATATTTATAACGCGCGGTACAAAATTAACTGCTCATTCTACATACTAAACAATTAAAAAACTAATCTAACGGTTAAAATTCAATTTCTACTGGTGGAGAAATATAATGATTCCTACCATAAATACACCCATATTTTTTTTAGGGTATTAAAAAAAACTCGATCATGAATTAGATTCCAATCATGTTGTGGGTTCCGCTCTTGTCTAAACTCTTTTGATAGTTTAGTAAATCAAAGTCTCGTTTATTTCACCGATTTGAGTTTTTAGTTTTAGGTTTTTATAGTAAAAAACTTTCAAAAAAATGTCACATCAAAATTTTTTACTACAGTAAAAAACTCTCAGAAAATGTCACATTTCAACTTAAATTAAAAATTTAAATCTGCGAAGTGAACGATTCGATGATGAATTAGATTCCAATCATGTTGTGGGTTCCGTTCTTGTCTAAACTCTTTTGAGAGTGTAGTAATTAAATATTGTGGAGTTGGACCACTTGAAGCAGGTGTGAAAGGGCAACATTTTTCTTAGACATGACAAGACCAGGCCTATATCGACTATCAACCTAAACTGGACGTATGCATATAAACATATGGTATTTATCATGATATTTACAACACTGGCTAGTACAATAGTACCTACGAGGGCAAGAATCACGTGGGTGCCATTAAGGTTTTTTTTTTTTTTTTTTTTTTTTTTTTCTTTATAACATGAAAGCGAAAACGTTTCCTAAACCGTGTTTTGTTGCAAATATTGTTATGAAAATGAGACCGAAAAAAAAAATACGAACAGCTTTTGTTAATAAAAGAGAAAATGGTTAAAAGATATTTTCACATTTTCGTTTTCACCTTCTAATGTTATGGCTAAATACACATTCTCAAAAACATACCCAAACAAGATTTTCATTTTTTTTTTTTCTAATACTCAAAACAATAACCTCTTAGAAAAATAAGCAAACACAGAGCCAAAAAAAAAAAGACCCGGCACCATAATAAAAAAAATTTCATTTCTATATTTATACTTGTAGCAAAACTATTTTTGAAACCACTATCAAATAATCCATAGCTTTCTTATGTGGGCCACAAAATCGGTTGGAGAAAATATGATCGGATTTATTTATTTATTTTGTTATATATATATATATATATATATTTTTTTTTTTGCTTTCTTGATCATTTCATTGTTTTTTCATTTATATATCCATTTTACATGATATTGGGTTAATTGAGAAAAATGATTGGATTTTGGAATCAACTTCAATATTAATGTTCACTCGCACAAAAATTATAAATAGGGCCGATACAGTGGAAGTATAGGTTATCAAATTTTATCCCGAATTGAATCAATTTTGCTCCATATAAAAAGCGTGAAAATTTCACTTTCGTACTATGTTATATGAATATACGAGTTTAATGTCTTTTATTTTTAATAATTTTATGTCGGTATCTTGACTTTTTAAAAAATTTTCTTTTAGTATCTTAAGACAATTTTTAAGACATAAAAAGATAAACTTATCATTATTATTAAATATATAAAAAAGCTTTTTAAAAAATCTTAAACACGCAATCAAGACTTTTATTTTATATTTAGGACATAATGAAATTTATGTGTTTAGTTACAGATTTAAGATTTTTTAAAAAATTTTTTTTATATTTAATAACAATGATAATTTTATTTTTTTGTGTCTCAAAAATTACCATGAGATATTAAAAAAAATTCTAAAATGTCAATATATTGATATAAAATTATTAAAAATAAAAAATATTAAACTCATATTTTAATATAATATAGAGTACGAAAATGACAATTTTCCTGTAAAAACAGTTTTGCGGAAGTGGACTCAAAAGTAATTAACAAATAAGATTGGATTGAAATAAAACGATAAGATTGAAAAAGACAAAAAGTTGAAAAGAAAGAAAGTGATTATTTGGCTAGTTCAAGATGATTTGATTGAGATTGGAATAGTAATGGATGTCGCGATCGATATAACTTTTAAAGAGAAAAAAGTTTGGAAAACTGTTATATATATAGAGGTACTGTTTCTTGTAGGCGGTTTTACTAATAGAACTAATTATTTGAGCATTAAATTTGATTAATATTTAAATGAAATTAAAAAATTATGTAAAAAATACAGTTTTTTATTTTAGCGGTTAAAAAAATAAAATTATTAGTAGTTTTATTTTTTTAATCCTACGGGAGAAATTCTCATATATGTAATAGGGTAACTTTTAAGAATACTCCTAAAATAGAGTCTCTTTTTATTTTTACCTCTCAACATTAGTCTATATATTTCTACCTTTTATACTAGAACTCGTAAAAGGCAGAGTTTTTTAAAAATAGTACTTTTAATAAGTTAGTACTTAAAGACATAAACTCTGTAATTTTCTCTATAATATATTATATTAATAGGGTGGTAGTTCCATCCAGCCGGCTAGATGTTCCATCCTTTTATTTTCAGACAGGAGCACGTTTGGTTAGAGGATTCGTTCTCTGATTCGAATCATGGTTCATGATTCGTTACAGTATTTTCTCTTACAAAAAATACACGTAAATCGAAAATGATTATAATCTCATAGTTCTAATCTATGAACTAAACGGTAGATTGATTTCAATGTCCGCGATCTTAGCAAGGGTAGTGATGTGAGTTTAAAACCAGTTGGGAAATGTACCAGGATATAGCTAATATGGAGAGGCTAACTATTTTATTTTTTGTATTATTTTATTTTTTAACTATAATAAATGTAAATTTTTTTTTTGTATATTTAATAAAATTATTTATATTTTAAATTTAATAAATATTAAAATAATTTACATTTAACTAAAAACTCACAAAAAAAAAATACCAACCGAAACAACTTTCTAACTATTCTGATTAGAATTTAATTAAAATTTAGAGAGTTATCCGCATAGTTTGAAAACCTTGTAGCTGATGTCGACGCTTCAGCTTCCAGCTAATTTTTTTCTGCGATGACCTTGTCAAACTTAGGTGGATAACCATTTTTTTTTCGAACTCAATCTTTCAAAGACTTTAAGCTTAAAAACAAACAAAAATTTAACGTTTCAAAGAAATTATTCATCTTGACGACCACAGGTGTAACTTGTAATCGGGGACCTTATTACTTACTGTATTTTGTGAGAATTCTACGGTAAAGTTTGGAGATAAACTACTTAATAATTAAGATTAAAATCATGAGATTATAATTATTTTTTATTTACTTGTATTTTTTGTGAGAAAAAATACTGTAACGAATTATGAACCATGATTCAAATCATTGTATGAATCTCTTTACCAAACGTCTCATAAAATTCTATTTTAAACCATCAGATCTACATTTAATTTTTTTTATTTCATATTTTTTTAATTTTAATTATAAACACTTTAATCAGAGTTTTAACGTTTAGAAACATGCATTATTAATGAAATACTTACCGTAAAAAGCTTCGCGCGCGTGTACTTATTACGAAATTAGTTATGATATCATCTTATATTGCAGCTCATGTTGTTAGTCTTCGCTTTACGTTTTGTCATCTTTTTCTAAATAATGCATGATTATATTACACTAATTGGTGCTAAGCATCCGGAATAAATTTGGTCACGTATAATCCGTATATCAATAATTCCACCTTTGTGATCATTTCGTTAGTTTTACTTAATTTCTATGGTCCACAATTCAATAGTGTGTGAAATTTCCAGCCAATTTTTAATCAGCATGTAGTCTTCACGATACTTGATTGTATCTTTTGACGATGACATATTATTTTAAGTTGTTAACTAAGCAAGCACGTGGACTAGTCAAACAGGACTTCAAACATATTATAATGATGATCCAAAATATTAATTAAGAACGACTTATCGTTCAACACGATAGTTGTGTACAAATATGGACCTTACATTATGCGATAACTTTCAAGAGTATTTTCAGTCATACGGCACGGTGCATTTTTGTATGGAGTGGGCCGTTTAGTTCGCTTAATTTGAGTTGAGATGTCATTTTTATGTGAAAATTTTTTACTGTAATAATAAAAAATTAAATGTGACTGTTTCTAAAAATTTTTTACTGTAATAAAATTTAAATTTTAAACTCGAATAAGTGAAATAAACAGGGTCATAGTTCTTAATTAATCCGGGATAACAATAAATATTCAAAGAATGCATGCGAAATGTGTACGCAATATTTTACTAAATTTGTCGTCACATACTTATATTATATTAATAATATAACTATTATTAATATAATGTAAGAGTTATATTAATAATATTATAGTTATTAATATAATTATGATATTATTTGTGACAATATTATAATTATATTATATTATGAGTCTAAATTTTAAATTAAAAAGATTGTAAATTTTAAATTTCATTAGGGGTATTATGAAAGTTGCATTAATTGTATTATGTTAATTCTCGCACAATTTAAAAGTTAAAGTTGTTTTTAGAATGTTTTTCATTTTGATTGTAGATTCTTTAAAAAACACTTTTGAGGAGATTTACTAAACACTAAAATCACTTTTATTATGAGCAGAAACTGATTTTAGGAGTAAAAAACAATACTAAACGCAGCCTTAGACGTTTTTAGACGTTACTGATATTTTAACCTACTATATAACTATAGATTTTTCATAAAGAAAAAGCAAAGCAGTAAATTAGTTTTGTGAGTGTAAAGCAGTGTCGTAAAACAAAGCACATGTTCAACGTGACTTGTGGTTTAACAAACTCTGTTGATAGAACCATGCCTTGTACCCTTTCTCCGGCACTTCTGTATAATATATATATATATATATATATATATATATACATATATATAAGAAGAAGAAGAAGTAGAAGTAGATAAAATCAAAAGAAATGCCACGAATAATACGACAAATGAGAAGCAGTAAAAACTAAAAAGGTAAAACTACTTTTTTGGTAGAATAATTTTCAGGGACAAAACCAGCCACCAAAACGACTGTTATCCAAATATCGCGGTTGTTAATACAATAAAATACCATTAGTTTAAAAAAAAATAATAAAAAATAGTATATAATTAACCATAATCTTTATTCCAAACGGTGAACCAAATCACATATGTGTTTGGTAAGCACTCAATTCAGATTTTTATTCCCCGTATAAACTAAATTTGAACGGCCTAATTTAAAGAATAGTTTTTCCTCCGTTTCTACTTTTTAAACTGTTTTTAAATAATAATAAAGATATATTTATACTCTAGACTCTCCGCATCCAACCGTTATTTTGAATTGCAACTTGAATTACATAATTCAAACTATCGAATTAAACGGAACTTAAATTTATTAAATTGTTAATTTTTAGATATAATGCACAATCTTATCTAGTTGTTAAAAAACTCTCCATTAGTGACAGTGCAGTATATTTCATATAGTGAAGATATATTTTTATAAGGTCGATAATATGAGTCACGATACGATAACATGACTTGAAAATGATACGAATTTTACAGGTTAGGGTTGAAAAAAAAAGGTTCGGATGAGAATTATATCGACCTGAAATTGACACGAAATATACGGGTCAATTTCAGATTAGACTCGTCTAACTCGAACACGATACGAAACTCGTAAAAAACTTATATATATATATATATTTTTCATTACATATTTTAAATTTTATTATGAACTTGTGATATTATGATAGTTATACTCAAAATTATATACTATTATTTATTTAATTTTGATGAATGTTATTATATTTTAGTGTTGGATGAATTTTAAATTATTTTTAATATATAAAAAATTAAAAAAAAGTTTATAATTTTTGTATCAATAAAAAATTTTTAAGTTAATTTCATGTGGCGTAAACTTATAAAAATACTCGTGTCATATTCATATTATAATTTTTAAAAAGTTTTGTGTCAGTGTTCAAGTGGACTACAAAATACATCCGTGACATAAATTGTCATGCGTAAATTCTTCCATCACTGTTGCCGTACCAACAAGAGTGTTGCTTGCTTCCTTGAGTGTGAACAGTCAAAGCATCAGAAAACGATTGATCATATTTCGTGGGATTCCAAAGCAAACGTGTCGTTTTAATCCCCTTTCCTCGAAGTAAGCAACAGCAAAAAAGTACGTGCCACGTGCCCATTAGTCTCTCTTAATTTTTATTCATTATTATTTTTAATTATTTTTTATTTATTCTTTTAGAGTTTAATTTGAGTATAATTTTTGAGTTAAATTTAAATTATAATTTGAGTTAAACTTATAATTTAAATTTGTATTTAATTATGTACATTTCAATTATAATTTGAGATAAAAATCTTTTAAGTTTGTTAAATTTATATTTAAATAATATTTTAATAAAAACTCAATGCTGATAAAAAATTTTAATATGATATATGAATCGAATTTTATTCGTATTTTTATTGTCAACGCATAGAAAAAAAATCATCTCAATTAAAATTAAAATTAAAAAATTATAATATTTTTAAGAATAAAAAAATATTATTAATTAATTTGAGTTTGAGTTTCTAAACTCAAGTTAAAAAAAAAACTTAAACTCAAATTTTAATTTTAAATTTAAATTTAAACTCAAATTTAAACTTAAAACAACATTAACTCGAATAAAATTGTAACTCTACCATTTTTCGCTCAAAAAACAAGCCCTTCGTTTTCTCCGTTAGTGTTGTTTTCAGAGGAAGCAGCGCACCACCACCACTAACAAACAAAAACAACAATGGCCCCTCCTAAGTAGCTGCTTACCCTCCTTTTCTTTTACACTCCATTTTCACCTTCCTTTCTTTCTAATCTCTTTCTCTCTCTACAATGGCAGTCTCTGTGTGGGCTTCTCTCATGGCGAGCTGGTTCAGCCCCAGCTCTCTCTTCCTCTTCCTCAACCTCACCATCGGAACCATCTTTCTCATGAACCGGTTCGGAGCCCGAAGAAATCCCGAATATCAGCAACTCGGACAACCTTACGACTCGTCCCAACTCGCCCGAGCCACCTCGCTCCTCGACCGAGTTAGGTCCATGAACTTCTCTCTCTACAAATTCGAACCGCCCAGCGAAGAATCGGAGCTCCACAATCTCCCGGAACCCGATCGCGCCGCCGAATATCCCACTCAGCTCGTCCGAACTCCGTCTTTGCTCGAGCGGCTTAAGTCCATCAAACTCTACAGATCAGAACAGCCGGAACCGGAAACATTTCGGCCTGATTCGAGCCCGGAGTTTAACGATCACGCCGCCAAACACCCGGCTCAGCTCGTCCGAACTCCGTCTATGTTGGAGCGCCTGAAGTCCATCAAACTCTACAATTCCGAAAGCCATGACCCGAAGCCCGAACCGGAAAGTTTTCGCCCTCATCCGAGCCCGGAGTTTCACGATCACGGCATGAAGAGGAGCCAATCGGAGTCGGTCGGCGAGGTCACGACGAAAGCGGAGAAGATGACGAAGTCGGCGAGTGAGAAGTTGGCGGCGGTTGGAGGAGAGGAGGACTGCGGCAGCGGAGAAGACGAGATCGCCGCCGTGGAGATTCGGAGGCCGGCGACGACGAGGGTCGACCAAACGGCGACGTCTTTGGAAGACGACGGAGTGGACGCGAAAGCTGACGACTTCATCAACAGGTTTAACCAGCAGCTGAAGCTGCAAAGGCTCGCGTCACTGAAGCGATTCAGCGAAATGTGGAAGGGGAAGTGATTCTTTAACTAATTAAAGATTAGCTTAATTTTCTTAATTAGTACTAATTTTCTTTTTTCTTTTTCCCGTTTTGGTTTTGTGCTAAGTAGTTTTGTATTGTATGAAACTTTTTTTCTTGCTTTGTGAGAGTTATGGATATTTTGGTAATTTGAATCTCGATGATCTATGACTGCACTGCCCATGAGCAGTAGTGGGTGACCGGATAATGCAGACAAGAGAAGGGATAGAATATCGAGGTGGGGAAGAAGAAAACAGACTGGGGAGGGTGAAATGACCAAGATGGTCATTGACTCGGTGTATTGGCCATTCGGTGTATGTTTGTTGCTTTTTTCTTACACTATAATTGGTACAGTCGAAAAGGAGAGGAAAGAAATGGAAGGATTTTGAAGAGGAAAAGAAAATCTTAGGTTGATTGGTAGGAAAGAAATGAGGAAGGATGAAAGTTGTAAATTTATAGGGTCTATTATTTTTTATTTTTTTTAATTTTAAAAAAAAATAGGAAGAAAAAAATTTAACAAGTAAAAAGTACGTAATATAATTATTTTAATCTTAAATTATTTACTATATTTTTATCTGTAAGGGTATTATTATAAAATAATTTAAATTTTATATTTTTTTACTTTTTTTTCTTTTACTAAATAACACAAAAAAATCTCTTTTTTATCATTTTATTTTTTTTTCACTTAAATATATTACTTATTATTCTTTTTTATTTTCCATCTTTCCTATTAAACATAACACTAGGATCAGTAACTTTTTCGGTAAAGCTATTTTTCTCACTATAATTTGAATTTTACTTCAAATTTTTCATTCGAACTCATCAAAAGAATTTGGAAAAAAGAATCGAATTATTATTAATGAAAAAAATAAATAAAAGTATAGGGGTTAGGGTATAAAAGATGCTTGCCATGGGATATTCAATATCATATCTCAATCGCATGGGAATTTACACGGGGTTAGGGTATAAACCATAAAAGATGCTTAAGGTGAGATTTCATCAACTCCTCTCTAAATTTAATTACTTTTTTTTTTCTTTTTTGAACTTAACTTGAGGTTTTAAATTGTTGTACTACCGAGTTTTTATTTTATTTTAGGGAAATAGTAAAAAATAGACCAATATGAAAAGTTTAAGAAAGTATATAGGTTAATTTTTAGTTATAGAAATTAATAGGCCATAATTTGTCAAGTTATGGTTCATAATAAGATAAGTTATGAACAAACTTGTCAAGTTATGGTTCATAGTCAGACAAGTTATGGACAAAAACTGTGAATAACTTGTCAAGTTATGGTTCATAACCAGACAAATTATGGACGAAAATAGTAATTTAACCTATTTATTAACTTATATAAACTATTGGCCTATTAATTTTAATTCATCTCAAGTCTTGACCTATTTCTCTCTTTCTTCCTTTATTTTATCTAAATATAAATTTAAGTTTTGACCAACTTAAATACCAACTCAAATAGATTCTCAATTAAAATTATAACTCAAAATATGCACATCTAAACACAAATTTAAATTATAATTTAAACTTAAATCATACTCAAATACACCTTTACTCAACCCTAACTCAAAAAATGCAAATAAACAAGCCAAAAACTTTGAAATGGTGAATTTGATGTTGCAAAGGAATTCTGTTCATGAACTCTTTTGTAATCTCCATGTCGCATTGACTGTACATGTTTTTAAACGTTAAATTTACCTACTTTAATTAAAATTCCGTTTTTTAAATTGATATGAATTACGCAATTACTAGTGTTGGATTGTCTAACTAATAGGCTGCCGTATAATTACAAGATTTGTCCCCGACAACATGCGTGTTAGATTGTTACATACATGTCCCTATTATTTGTTTGTTCGCTGCCAATTATATGTCTCAATGTGTAACTGAACAAAACAGTCAAACATTTTTAGATGACATTTTTATGTTTTTCAAAGGCCAAATGCTCACAAATTAAATCGTGAAGGAAAAGAGAGTCACGGTAGGCCAGTTACCAGCCATTAGTCAGCTAAACTATAATGCAATTTTAAATTATATATACGACTTTATAAATGTCTATGGAAAGGAGGGAGAGAGAGAGAGAGAGAGAGAGAGAGAGAGAGAGAGAGAGAGAGAGAGAGAGAGAGAGAGAGGGATGGGAAGTCAATAGTATTATCCAGTTACGAGCATCGAAATTAGTTAATTTGGTTCCGTTTTCTATCAGAAAATTCCAGAACACATCATTTGCATCCTCATAAATGATGACGAATTTGTGACAAAATATATGCGTAACAATAAAAACACTTTAAGTATTTGGAAACCTATTGTTTTATATGAGAGAGAAAGAAAGTAAGTACACGAATTGATCCATTCTGGACGGCAGCAAAAGGATATGAAATATCAGTACCTTTTATTATTTGTAGCAGACTATTATTTTAAAGTATGATGTATATAAATTTTGGCTATAATAGTTAACTTCTTTTAGTATAATATTGCTAAAAAGAAGTTGCTTACGTTCGTAGTAAAACATATATATCGATGATGTCATGTATGCTATATTTTAAAAGATCATATTAAGGGAGTTTTAAAGCTTAATTACTTGATTGTTCAATTTCATGAATAAATTAACAATTATTTGATATTTTGAATGTGATAGTATGGCAAGGGTTATTATAATCCATGCATGCATGTTAAATTACCTGTTCATCATGCATGAAAGGGTGGCACTGTCAGACAAGTTGTCATTGCATAATATGATGGTCGAAGTTGACTAAAATAAAGGCAGCAATTGATTGCGACAATTAATCAATATATCGCTTCAATACTTATCAGCCACGCCAGTGTGGTACTATTTAATATTTGAAGGCAGAAAATACAAGAGAAGAAGGGGTTTTTTCAGATCGAGACTTCCTCCCGACAAAATGGTCATGTTCTTTTCGCTGTTTCGAGTTTAAAATTTGAGTTTTGTTATATTAAAAAGCTCTAAAAAATAGTTACATTTAATTTTTTTGCTACAGTAAAAAGCTCTCACACAACATCACATCTCAACTCGAATTAGCGAACCGAACGGACCCTAGTTTGTAATCCTATATGATTAAAATCACGTTATATTAAAAAAATATACAAGATAAATAATTTTTAATACGAATTCTGTTCATTTTATTAATTTGAGTTTAAAATTTAAGTCTTATTACAGTAAAAAACTATAAAAAAAATAATCACATTTAACTTTTTTATTACAGTAAAAAATTTTCACATAAAATCACATATCAACTCAAATTAAAAACTCGAATTAACGAACTAAACAGGCACATAATAGTTGAAAACAGAATTTTTTCAGTAATTTATTTTTTCAATCCCTACAAAAAAAAAATCTCCATAAAATAGAAAAAAGGCATGGCTAGGTTGATAATTAATCCTTGGAAACATTTACATTAATCGTCAATAGCAAAAAAAAGAAGCAAAAATATTATATTATCATATATTGTTACCCAATTATCACATTTATCACGTCGCAATGTAAAACCTAACTGTCATATTTATTGCCGTATGAATTTTATTATGTTGCGTCGATGATTCTGAGCGGGAATGAACACCACCGCCGGTGGTGATAAATGTTAATATTGCTCATATATAGTAGTCAAACAAAATATTGATCGATTTTTGTTTCTCTTGAAAGCGTACAACATCAATGTAAATATGTGAGTATCATGTATGTGTGTATATATTTATATTTATATATGTTTCTGATAAAGCTAAAAATTTCTAGCCTGTAATAAGATAATTGCTGAAACATTGTAACCTCCAGAGAAAGGTAAGCTTAATAATAACATGCGGATCTTGAGCACGAAGAAATACCAGCATAAATGTGCCATTAAAATTAGAGTTCTACAACTTCCTAAAAAAAATCCAGTTCTATAATGGCGTTTCACATGAAACTTCGAACACAATCAAATACATCAAATACCATGAGAAAAAAAATAAAAAAGATGGGAAAAAATCAATTCCCAACGAATTCATTCCCTTTTGCGGATGATCCAGCTTCTTCTACCTTTTCCTTACCCACAATATTCCGCTTTCCATTTTCCTTGAAGCTAGCACTGCATTGTGCAAGAAATGAAACATATTATTGTCATGTATATGAATTATATGTAACACATGCACTAACCAGTCTATCATAATTAAGCAAAAATTGACATTGGAAAATTAATCACGCACTGAATATAATAACAGAGACTCGGCACGTGTTGCGCATATGATAAACCTCAATATCTTTTGCAATTAATGATATAATTGATCTGATGGACCCTTTTAAGACATGATCGTTTAGAATCGTGCGTCTAAAATTGTAAGAATTAACACATTGAAATTATATTTGCTCTACTTGGTGTTGCTACGTGAGATATGTACAGGTCGTTCGGTGCCCTGATGGTTTCATTTTTTGTTTGTAAATGGGGTGTTATAAACCTTATACTATAATTTTTTTTTTATTTTTTAAAAAAGTCTCTGCTTGGCTTGTTAATTTTCAATATATAGAGAGAGAAAATTTGACATAAAATGAGACAATGCTAGCTGTATATACTTGATTGGATAGCTGTATATACTTGATTGGACAAAAGATATTAATAATCTAATCGTGGTGTGTGCTATGTAAGTGCATATAAACAATCCTTAACTAATGATAGAATAATTAAAGCAAGACAAAAAAATAATAACGACAGAATTAATTTGTCATATTCCTTTCAAACATGACAGTGAAAATGGTGTGTATCCTAAACTATAAGATTAACATAATTTAAGTATTTACACTAATGCATTGGAGTTTATGAGAAAATTGTGCCCAACAACATCTCTTTTCTAAGCTGGTTAAGAACCGCATTATATTATGTGGATCCTCTAATCGTCACAACTTTTTGTTGTTAAAATGACAGTTTTGACCTTCTAGGTATACAAGATGGGGCGGAATACACAGATCACAAATTCACAAATTGATCTTTCATAACTATAGCAGTACCAACAATGGATTTCGTTGTTGTGTTTCTCATAGCTTTACTTGGGAGGGACTCGCCAGATCCTCCGATTCTTTTCATCTGTAGCACATGTAAGTGATCAAGAGGTTCAATTTCTAGTTAGAATGGAGGATTTCAATTGAATTTGAGCAGCGGT